CCTTTTTTATTTTTTGAGACAGGGTYTCACCAAGTTGCATAGGACCCTTGCTAAATTGCTGAGGCTGGCTTTGAACTTGGGATCCTCCTGCCTTRTTATTCCAAGCCACTGGAATTACAGGCATTTGCCACCATGCCCTGCTTGTTTATTTATTTTAATTTTTTKGGGGGGGTGGTACCAGGGATTGAACTCAGGGCACTTGGCCACTGAGCCACATCCCCAGCCCTATTTGGTATTTTATTTAGAGACGGGGTCTCACTTGAGTTGCTTAGTGCCTCACCATTGCTGAGTCTGRCTTTGAACTTGCARTCCTCCTGTCTCAGCCTCCCAAGGTGCTGGGATTATAGGAGTGCACCAACAAAGGGCATACTAGAGAAAGGGGGGCATGGCCGCGGATTCAGGCCAAGCTGAGTTCACACACATTTTCTGAGTGCTTGCCACTGGAGAGGCTACAGTGCAGAAGAGCCCAGGACAGAATCAGGAGGGCCCAATTTCTGGTCTCGGCTCTGGCATGATTCAATTCTGTGATTTTGGCAAACCACTTAACTGCAACTCTGTATCCTTGTCTGCAAAATGTGTTAAGAATTTTTCTAATAAAAAACTCATGCATCTGCAGAAAAGAGTGAGGCAGTTACTCCAGCCAGAGAGGGACAAATCATGTTTACAGCATGCGAGGGGAAGAGGATCTGACTACAGAGGGACTGGGGAAGAAAGCTGTAAAAGTGGTGGCATTGGGGACTCATATGAGAACACCTTGTGGAGGAGGAGGGGCTACCACTTGTATTCAGATAGCATCCTTTAGGCATCTTCTGTGCTGGGACTGGGTAAGTGAGCTCCGCCTGGAAATGGGCAGAAAGCAGAGCCTGGAGTGGTTACTGGGGAGATGGGCTATTGAATGAAGCCACCTACCTCTGGGGGCATTTCACCAAGGAAAGGGATGTCCATTTTCTGGCACTGAGTCACCAGTGCAGTGAAGAGTGGTTTGTTGGGCCTTTTGGGGTAATAGATGGTTGGCTGGTAACCCTAAATGCAAAGGGAAGTGGCAATTTCACTTCAGATCCCAGAACCCTAAAGCCCTCCCCCAGGGCTCCTCCCCACATACTCACAAAGAGTTTGAGATGTCTAGCGCAGACCAAACCGTCTCCTCCGTTATTGCCGGGGCCACAGATGACCAGGACAGTAGGGGGGTTCCTGGCCAAGGACGAGGAGGGATATGCCTGAAGACAGAGTYAAAGGGTTTTCAGGCAGTAACAGACCAGTTGGGCCAGCTCCTATCCTTTATGCTCAGGAGTGTCACACCTCCTTGCTCCTCCCAGATCGCGGGTTGTGCCACTGACCTTGGCAATGGCTGTAGCGCAGCTCAGCCCAGCCAGCTCCATAAGTTGGTCCACGCTGAACTGGTACTCGTTGAACAACTCCTGGTCCACGGCCTGGGCCTCCTCCTGGCTGAGGGAAGCCCTAACCTGAGATCCTGCCCTCGGGTGTCACGAGGCGCCGGGCCGAGGACAGCCGTCCACCGCGTGCCCGCCCCCGGCCTCGCCTACCTCAGGTACTTTACCGCGGTGCTCGCCATGGCCTCTGAGTCCCGGGGCCCACCCACGCTCAGCCGCTGCGTTCCCCACCACGTGGGGCCCGCGCGGCAGGCGCCGGCCTGACTTCTGACTCGAGGCAGGCGTGAGCCGGCAACCAGCAGCCCGAAGCCCAGCAGCGCCCGCAGCCCCGACATCAGCTCGCAGGCGCGCGCCTCCGGCCCGGCCCAGTTCCGGCGCCTGCGCGGCGCTCCTCCCACCCGGAGAGGCCCGGCCGCCGCGCAGGCTCCGGAAGCGGCCTGGCGGCGGGCGGCGCGCGGAGCTCTGCGTTCCGGCCGCTCTGCCCCCGGCCGCGGGATTCGGGTCCGCCCCGCCCGAGGCCGGACTCCCGTGCGCCTTCAGTGACCGCCGGAGCCCAGCCCTTCCCAGCCCTTCCCGAGAGCGTGGACTCGTCTCCTACTCGTAGACGTACTGAAGGCCTCGGGGAGTGACCCGCGATTCTCCAGCTCTGCCTGGCTGTGAGCGCGGCGGCCGCTGGACCTGCTGGGGGACTTGGGCCTCCTGGTGGCGGGGCCGCAGACACACACCGGGGAAGGGAGCTCWTGTTCATATTTACCTAATCTAGGAACCCCCTCCACTACGTTAGTTCCCACCTCGGTTCCTACCAGAACATCACGCCGTACTTGTCTACCATAAATCCTAAATAGGTTAAAGATGTCATTGAAACCAGAGGTTCCCAGGTCACGCGATGTTCCATTAGGAACCTTGAGGAGAATAAATTTTATGCAAGTACTTTTATTTACCTATTTGCAATACTAGGGATTGAACCCTGGGCCTCGCACATACTGGACACCCTACCACTGAGCTTATATGCTCAACCCTTTATTTATTTATTTATTTATTTTCTTAATTTCATTTTCAGGTAGGGTCTTGCTGAATTGCCCTGGTTGGTCTTTTGTAATCCTCTTGTCTCAGCCTCCGGAGTAGCTGGTGTTACAGGTGCACATTGGCTATCCAAGTACTTTATTTTGGGGGGGATTGAACCCAGGGACACTTAACCTCTGAACCACATTCCTAGCCCGTTTTTTTTTTTTTTTTTTAACTTAGAGACAGGGTAGCATCTCTCTTGGTTGCTCAGGGCTTTGAACTTGTGATCTTCCTACCTCAGCCTCCTGAGTTGCTGGGATTACAGGCATGCACCACCACACCCTGCTATTCGAGTACTTTTGAGAATGCAAACAGTGCTGCATGGGTAAGAAGCTGGGGAGTGTACTCCCTGTGAATTCGTTYGTGGTACACCAAAAAGCCTCGAAGGGTGACAGAGTATGCCACCTCAAAATATGCCACTTTGGCATAAGGATTATTTTGAATTAAAGTCATTGGAAAAACAGTAAGAATAGAAGGCATTCCTACCTCCCCTTTTCTTCTCGTACCAGGGATCGAACCTAGTGGTTCTTTACCACTGAGCTACATCCCCGCCCCCCCCCCCTTTTTTGAGACAGGGCATTGCTGGGATTACAGGCATGCATCACTTCCTGCAGCTCTCCCTTCCTTCTTGAAAGCAGGAGAAATAAGATTCTCATGTGAAAGACATGCTCCCTGTACTAGGAGGAAAGAAATATTCTTATTCCTGAAGACGGGGAACAGAGGTTAAGAACTCTGTACAAACTCTGTTAAAATTCAACAGTGTATCTTCCTTTAGCCTCCATATATATTTTAGTTGATTTTCCACAATTTCTTCCCTTTTTTCACCCTAAAACATTTAGGTTTTGTTGCTTTTTTGAGTTGTTCCTTTTGTTATGATCTGAGGGGCCCTGTGTCACAAAATTTATATTAAATATATTTGTATGTGTTTCTCTTTAATCTGTTTTACATCAACTTAATTCTCAGGCACAGTCAGAGCCTCCAAGGAGAGTAGAGGTTGAATCTTGCCTCTCTTACACCCTCTTATCAAATATGATCAGGATTGAATTATCTCATTTCAGCTTAAAACACAAAACACATTCATTTTGCTTCTTGTCAAACTGGGACCCAAGTCTTTTCTCTGAGGTTAGGGCCCCCTTTTTTCTTACATAAACCTCACCAATTACTTATTACCTGCAATTTCCAGTTTTCTTAGTTTTTGTAGAAACACTGCTTGTTTTCACACTTAGTTCATCAATTTATACAATATTTAACTAAGTTATATATTATAATAAAACAACCATCCTGAGCACATTGGAATAAATCACTGGCTGAGGATGTGGCTCAGTGGTAGAGCGCTTACCTAGGATGTACAGTCCCAATCCCTAGTACTGCATGCATAAATAAACAAATAAATAAAATAAATCACACCAGACAGCAAGCACCTAAGTTTGAATCCTGCCTTCTCCACATATGGCTTGTGTGACCTGGAAATTCCCCTTTGAGATTTCTTTTTCCTATCTGTGAAAGGGGATAATAATAGCACCTCATAAATTTTGTTGTAAGGAGAAAACACTAGTAAAGCACTTAGTATACGGGACATGTGCTAAGTACTCAATAAATATTAATAATGTCATTGCTAGCCGGGCACAGTGGCAAATGCCTGTAATCCCAGTGGCTGGGGAGGCTGAGGCAAGTTCAAAGCCAGCTTCAGCAAAAGTGAGACACTAAGCAACTCAGTGAGACTCTGTCTCTAAATAAAATACAAAATAGGGCTGGGGATGTGGCTCAGTGGTCAAATGTCCCTGAGTTCAATCCCCAATGACCCCAAATAAATAATGTCATTGCTATTGCCCTGGCTGGCAGCTGGCCTTGTCCTACAGGCTGTGGGCCTGAGAAAGCAGTGAACAGAGGTCTGGTCGGTTAGTATAAGGTCTGTAGCATTACACCTCCATTTCCCATCTGAGAAAAGAAGGTCTGCAGAAAGTCAGTGACTTCAAAACCACCTGACCAAGAAGTCAGAGTTTTAGTGGTTGATTGTTCCTGTGTTGAGCCCACGGGTGCTTTACCACTGAGCTATATCCACAGCCCTTTTTAGTTTCTATTTTGAGACATTTCACCATGTTACCCAGGCTGGCCTTGAACTTGTTATCTTCTTGCCTCAACCTCCCAAGTCTCTGGGATTACAGGCATGTGCTGCTGTACCTAGCAAGAAGTCATAGTTTTTAGAACTGGCAAGGGCTTTAGCAATCATGAGGTCTAGACTCAGAAGGAAAAAAAAAAAAGAGAGAGAGAGAGAGAGAGAGAAAAAAAAAAGCAGGGTAGGAGTTCACTATCCATTTTCTTTTTCTTTTGCCTCTTGAGTCCAATTAGGAGCAAAGAGAATCTCTTGGAACTGGGACTGCAGAGCCCTTAGCCCACCTGCTCAGGAGTCCACTCAGTGACTGTGTTGTTCTATTTCCATACAGGGTTCAATGATTTGGGAAGAGGCTCAGTCCCCAGAAGTCTATGAAGTGTGTGTGTTGAGGAGTCCTGCAGAGGTGAGGGCTGCAGCGAGCAGGGTGCAGGTCACATGATTATGCAGAAGCCAGACTGGGTGACTTTCCTCTGAGGGTTCTTGTGGAGGGCTTCCCTGGGCCGCCTGGCTGACCTGAAGGAGGGAAGGAGGGGTTGGCCAGTGGGATCAGCGAGGGACAAGAGCAGGGGGCCTGCCCTGGCTCCAGCTCCCTAGGCCCTCACTGGCCTCCACTGGTGGGCTCCAGTGGAGGAAGCAGAAGGCTTAAACTTCATGTTCCCCACTTCTGTAGAGATATCTCTCTCTCTCTCTCTCTCTCTCTCTCTCTCTCTCTCTCTCTCTCTTTCTCTCTCTGATTCCCACAGTCAGGCCATGCAGGAGGCAGGGAGACCCTGGGCTCCAGAGCTGGGTGAGGGTTGTTCAGACTGCTGAAGTAAGACAAACATTCAGGGCCCCATATCCCAGGCACCAGATCATTCCTTTTCCCAACTATGACAGTGGTCATGTTCCATCAAATATCATCCCAAGCCACACACATCTTCTGCTTCCTTCATCCATTCTTCTCCCCTCCTCCAGGACTCACCTATTGGCTTGGGAGCCATTGGGTATCAGGATACCAGAGTACTCTCTAGGGGCACCCAAACCTCCAAATGGAAGATGGGTCCTGGGTCTTGGACCTAGAATGGAGAGGGTCAAACATTCACCACAAGCCTCTTCACACCAAGGAACATCATGGTGGGAAAGAGAAAGCTCTGGGGGAGGAACAAGGAGGGTGGGTGTCAGAAAATGCATTGGTCCTGGTACAGGGAGGGTGTAACAAAGACTGTGCCCTCAGCTGGGCATGTCTGTAATCCTAGTGACTTGGGAGGCTGAGGCAAGAAGTTTGCAAATTTGAGGCCAGATTGAGCAACTTAGTGCAACCCTGTCTCAAAAATAAAAATAAAAATTTAAAAAGGGGGGTGCTGGGGATGGAGATGTAGCTCAGTGGTAGAATACGCTTGGGTAATCCTCAGTACAAAAAAAAAAAAAAAAAAGAAAAAGAAGAAAGAAGGAGGAGGAAGGAGGAGGAGAAGGAGAAGAAGCCGGTGTGGTGGCACATGCTTATAATTCCAGCAGTTTGGGAGGCCAAGACAGGAAGATGGCAAGTTCAAAGCCAGCCTCAGCAACTTAGCAAGACCCTGTCTCAAAAAAAAAAAAAAAAAAGCTGGGCTGGGGTTGTGGCTCAGAGGTAGAGCACTCGCCTAGCACGTGCAAGGCGCTGGGTTCGATCCTCAGCACCACATAAAAATAAATAAATAAAATAAAGTTATTGTGTCTGACTACAACTAAAAAAATATTAAAATAAATAAAGGGGCTGGGGATATGGCTTAGTAGTAAAGCACCCCTAGGTTCAATCCCAGATTAAAAAAAAAAAAAGGACTATGCCCTCTCTCTATAGGGGCACATGGGCCAACTTAAAAGCTAGTAGTCAGTACAATTTGCTGTGCTTGGAAGGAGCTCAGCAAGTAACAAGGAACTTGGCTCCCAGAGTTGGGAGCCTTTGAGGAACATTCTAGTGAAGATTAAGCTGGGGGTCAGAAAAACACCCAGCCTAGTACCTGGCAGGTAGCAAGCTCTCAACAAACCTTGGTGCTCTGAGATGTAAACTTCTAGAGGTTAGGAAAGCCTGAAGCATGGAAGGAGAGGCCAATCTGGAAAGGGCTAGGGTTGGGGTGGAGTTGAGGTGTCGAGGAACAGGCCAGGGCCTTGAGAGGGAGGCAGGAGTGTGGGGAGGACTCTTCCAGGGGTTGGCAATCTGGAGAGCTGGATCTGGGTGACTCAAGGACAGACGGAGGGCGGAGGACCAGGAAAGTAAGGAGAGAGCACCAGCTGAGGTGAGACGGGAACCACCTACTGGACTCACCCTCTAGTTTCTGGGACACAGACGTGGGAACATTCACCGATCCCTCCTCTCCTTTCTCCTCCTGGCGCTCCTCCAATTCTTTATCTTCCCATCTACCAGAAGGTCTGCAGGGGCAGGTGACCCAGATGTGGAGGGGCAGAGGAGGTCCCACCCCTGCCACACCTCCCAACACCCCAGTCTCTGACCCAAGCTGCCTCACCTGTGCTGGGTATCTGCTGTACTGCTTTGTACCCTGGTTGAGGTCCCTGCCACTTGGCTGACCCTGCCTGGAGCCTGGGGTCTTCCTGGTGCTGGGGTCTGGGAAGAAAGAGGAGTCCAAAGAATTGATTTAAGAAAAACCCTTCTGGGGCTGGGGATGTGGCTCAAGCGGTAGCGTGCTCGCCTGGCATGCGTGCGGCCCGGGTTCGATCCTCAGCACCATGTACAAACAAAGATGTTGTGTCCACTGAGAACTAAAAAATAAATACTAAAAATTCATTCTCTCTCTCTCTCTCTCTCTCTCTCTCTCTCTCCTCTCTCTCTCCTCTCTCACTCTCTCTTTAAAAAAAAAAAAAGAAAAAAGAAAAACCCTTCCCCACTGCATATGCGTAAGTGAGTGTGTGTTCCCTTCACCTGCCTGCAGGGAGACATCATGGCCCCAGAGAGACCGTCTTACCTAATAGAGACACCCCAGGTGTGCCCACATTACTGGGAATAAAATTCCAGGATAAAGTTCTTTATTCCATTAAGGTCCCCAGTAACAACTTTCAAGTTAGAACTCAGGCTCATGGACCTGGCCAGAGCCTGACTACTGCCCCATCCTGCCTAGGGCCTCACCTAGCATAACCACAGAGTTAGTGGCAGATTTCAGGTGGGGCCCAGGTCTTCTGACCACAAATCCAATCTCCTGCCTGAGCCAGGCTAATATTTTTTTCAGAACTATTTTCATTTTTCCCATATCTTCTTACTGGTGCATTATAATTATACAAAATAGTGGGATTCATTGTTACATATTTGCACACACACACACACACACACACACTATATATAACAATACAATTTGGCCCAGTGTTCCCTAGTATCTCCTCAGCCCCATTCTGGTCCCTTTCCTCCAGTCTACTGGTCCCCCTTCTATTTCCAGGAGATTCGCCCCCCCCCCATACAACACTTTTCCTCCCTTTTTTTCCATAACTTCTACATATGAGAGAACACATATGACCCTTGACCTTCTGAGTTTGGCTTATTTCACTTAACACAATGCTCTCAAGTTCCTTTATTTTCCTGCAAATGATATAATTTCATTCTTCTTTATGGCTGAATAAAACTCTACTGTATATATATATCCCACATTTTCTTTATCCAGTCATCCATTGACAGACACCTAGGCTGGTTCCATAATTTGGCTATTGTGAATTGTGCTGCTATAAACGTGGGTATGCATGGGTCACCAGGGTATGCTGACTTTAATTCTTTAGGATAAATACCAAGGAATGGTATAGCTGGGTCATTTGGTGGTTCCATTCCTAGTTATTTGAGGAAATCCCATACTGATTCCCATAGTGGTTGAACTGATCCCCACTAACAGTATAAAAGTGTTCCTTTTCTCCCCACATCCTCTTATTTTTGCATATCCCTCCCCCAATCTGGAGACTCTCCAGTAAGATTTCCTCAAACCAACATCCCCATCCTGTGGCCATTTAGGGAACTGCAGATAAAGATTTACACCTTTCAACCCTTCACAAATGGCTTAGTATCCTTGCTTGAACTCATTTACTTGCACCCAATGGGCTTGCTGCTACCAACCAACCAAAGCCCTGGAGCAGCCCTTGTTTTGCTTTCTTTTTTGGTGCTGGGGATTGACCTCAGGGGCACTTTACCACTGGGCTACCCCCACTGCCCTTTTTATTTTTTATTTTGGAGACAGGGTCTCACTAAGTGGCTTAGGGCCTTGCTAAATTGCGGAGGCTGACCTCCAACTTGCAATTCTCCCGCCTCAGGTCTCCCAAGTCACTGGGATTACAGGAGTGCACTACAGCTCCCGGCTCCTGGAGCAGCTCTTGTGCTGGATGTGTGCCACAATCCCTGCCCACCTCCCAGCCACTGAGAAAGTGATACACATCCCACACGCCAACCCAGATGACACAGATGAGCAGTCAAGCTCGGCATCCCTGAGAACATCAACCCTGCTCACTGCCCCTTCTCCAGGCAACCTCTCCCTCCTCCCCTGCTTCGTGTTTCAGGTGTCGTATCTCACCGATGGGTGAACCTGGACCAGCCCCACCTGGGCCAAGTGGGTCTTCATGGCATCTGCCAGCTTGGCCACCAGCCGTTCCCGCACAGAATCTGGCTCCTTCTGGAAAGAGGGAGATAGTGGGGGAAAGGAAAGGCCTGGACTTTGTAGTTCTCAGGCAACTGGGTGAGAAAGAAATAGGAAGGAGGGGAGGGAGAGGGGCTTTATCTCCCCTCCTCAACCCCAGCCCTGTGCCTTTCCCAGTGTCCTGACACTGACCGCTCAGTGGACAGAGAATGCCTCTTCCTCCCAGTAGTATACGGGACCCAGCACTCAATGTGTCCAGTGTATGGTTTCCTTTTTAAATTTTTTTTTAGTTGTAGATAGAGAGAATACCTTTATTTTATTTATTTTTATGTGGTGCTGAGGATGGAACCCAGGGCCTCAGATGCGCTAGGCAAGCACCCTACTCCTGAGCTACAATCCCAGCCTCCAGTGTATGTTTTCTTTTCTTTATTCCTTTTCTTTTCTTTCTTTCTTTCTTTCTTTCTTTCTTTCTTTCTTTCTTTCTTTCTTTCTTTCTTTCTTTCTTCTTCTTCTTCTTCTTCTTTTTTTTTTTGTTTGTTTTGATACTGGGGATTGAACAGAGCCACATCCCCATCCCTTTTTATATTTTATTAGAGACAGAGTCTCGAAAAGTTGCTTAGGGCCTCACCAAGTTGCTGAGGCTGGCTCTGAACTCAGGATCCTCCTGCCTCAGCCTCCGGAGCCCCTGGGATCACAGGTGTGCACCATCACACTCAGCTCCAGTGTGTTTGAGAATGAGTGAGTAAAGGAGAAGGAGTMAAGGCAGGAGTGTCACCTGGGAGGGCTTCTTGGAGGGACAGTGGGGAAGAGGACCTCACCTGACACTGTATCAGCGCTTCCTTATAGTACTTCAAAGCCTGGTCATATTGTCCCAGTCTGGCTGCAGCAGCCCCAAGACCCTCGTAGGCCTGCCACTGCCCCTTCGTGTCCCCTGGGAAAGAGAGTCTGAAAGGTTCTCTCATCCTGTCCCATCCTGTGTATCGTCCACTCCACAGGTACTCCCCACCCCTAGATCCCCCGTCTGCCTCCCCATAGCCCCAAGGATCCTCAGTTTGGGGGTACCCCACCCAAGTCATGGCTCCCCCCTCAACTCTTACCAGCATCCTGGGCAGCCAGCAGGGCATGCAGATAGTTGTCCCTGGCGGCCCTGTGGTCCCCCAGCTGGCTCAGGGCAAATGCCAGGCTGCCAAAGCTTCGTCCCTGCTCCCACCGCTGCCCCAAAGAGCCTGATGATAGATCGCAGCCCGTCCTAAGAGGGGACTTTGGTTGCCGGGGCATCAGGACCCTGCCTCCCAGCAAGTAAGGAAGGGTGCCCAGGGATCCCGCGCCCAGCCCCGGCCCAGCTCCAGGTGCACCACGGAGACCTGAACTCTCTGTGCCAGCTTTTCTGTCCTGAGCTCTGACCCCGTTGCCCACCCTGGCTTGTTTTACCATGCACCAACCTCATGAGGGAGGCAAGGCACATGTTTTGGTTGGTTTGGGTTTTTTTTTTTTTTTTAATAGTCCTGGGGATTGAACCCAGGGGCTCTTTACCACTGAGTCACATCCCCAGCCCTCTAAACTTAATTTTTTTACTTTTAGGTATCGAGGAGGGAACCCAGAAGTACTTTGTCACTGAGCTGCATTCCCCAGTCCTTTTTATTTTTTATTTTAAGACAGGGTCACACTAAGTGGCCCAGGCTGGCCTTGAACTTGTAGTCTTCCTGTCTCAGCCTCTGACTGGCTGGGATTACAGGCATGAACCTCCTTGCCTGGCAAAGCAGACCTTAATAGCTCCATTTTATATGGGTGGAAACGGAAGCTCAGAAGGAGAGCTCACACACTCAGTCAGAGGAAGGGCTGGGCTCCGCCCCGGGCCTCTTATCCCAACCAGTGCCCTTCCCTGTGTCCATCGCTGCCTTTGCAACATGGGGCCCCAGCTCCTGGGGCCACAACCCTCTGTCCCATCTGGCTGTCCCATTTCCTTTACTCTCAGCCCTCACCTCCTCACTCTCGGCTTCCAGGCCCAACGACCTTGCAAAGGTCATCTACCTTGAGTCCTGGGCCCCACTGAAGCCCCCCCTTACTCCTTGAGCCCCCGTCTCATTCCCCAGCCCCTGCACTCACCATGGAGGTCAGCAGCCTTCTGGTGAAACTGCCGGGCTTCCTGATAGTTGCCAAGGGCATTGTGGGCCATCCCCAGGTTCCTTAGCACAGTGGCCTGCTCTCCTGGCCTCTGGCACAGGGACAGGGCCTGGAGGAAGGTCTCCACGGCCAGAGGGAACAGCTGGAGCTGGGAGTAGCCCAGGCCTAGATCGTTATAGAGCTGTCCTGGAGGACACAGAYAGAGCAGTCACGTCTAGGGCCTGTAGGTGCGACCGTCCACTAGCCCCTTCCCCGACCTCACAGTAGCATCAGCTTGGTGTCGCCCCAGACCCCACATCTTCCCTGCCCAAGGCCTCACCCAGCAGCCCCTGCTTGGTGCTCCTCTTGGCCAGCCTCCGGCTCCCCTCCAGTGCCTGCACCACCTCACCCACCCCGTGCCGCCCACTCTTGAGCATACACCCCGCTGCAGCCCCCAGTGCCAGGGCTGCAGCCCGAGGCTGGCCTGCTTCGGCGTAGGCTTGGCTTGCTTCCTTCAGGCACTGGGCTGCTCTCTCGGGCTGTCCCAGGGCTTGGTAGCAGGCTCCCATCTTTGCTTGGGCTTCCCCCTGGTCACCCTGTGGCTGGTAATGACTCAGGGCCTTGTGGTACCAGTTCAAGGCTTGGGGGAGGTCACCCAGGGCATGGTAAGCCAAAGCCACGTTGAAACACTGGTCACCATGACACGTGCCCTGTGCCTTCTCCTCAGGTTGGGCTCCAAGGAGCAGCTCAAGGCCTCTGGCYGGGTCCCCAGTCTCCACATAGGCAGCCCCCAGGTTGAAGGCACAGGCCCGAAGCACAGGGGTGTTTCTGGTTCGTGGGGCCTCACAGGCCAGGAGGAAAGCCTTCTGGAAGTTGCTCAAGGCCTCGTGGTTCTGACCAGCTTGCAGAGCCTGGTGGCCAGCTCTGGTGAGGGCCTGGATAATGGGCTCTTGCTGTAGCCACTTTCTTTTCTTCTTGTCACTCGAGGGCTCTGGCTCCTGGGGGATATCCTCAGGACTGGGGGGAGACATTGGGCTGACAGTGGGGAACAGAGGGTCAGTAGGTCCACCCTGGCTTCCCCAACAGGATCCCTGAAGGGCAATCCAACTCTGCCCCTGTCCAGGGGAACCCACAGGTTCCGGGGTCTCCCTCTGACATCTCACCTCATGTCATCTGTCCCATTGTGCTGCAGATTGACACTGATTCTGAGGTCTTGTTCTTAGCTCTCCTTCAGCTCTCAGGATTCTTATTTTTTCTTTCAGAAAGTCCCCTTCCCTGCCACCGACTGGAGACTTCTGTGGTCCTACAGCCCCTTATGCCTGTGTCTTCTACGGTATTTATTACGCTGGTTTGGAGATGCTAACTTTCTTGTCTGTCTCTCTCATTAGATTTGGAGCAACTTGAAGGCACAGAATAGATTCTTAATAAACTTAATGAATGAGATCTAGGGACGGCTGCTGGTGATGGGTATATAGTGTGAGTGTACTCAGTGCCACCAAAGTGGACACATAAAAGCCTGTAATCCCAGTAGCTCAGGAGGCTGAGGCAGGAGGATAAGCAAGTTCAAGGCCAGACTTAGCAACTTATCGAGGAAAATTTAAAAAAAGATAAGGAAAAAAATGGTGAGAATAACTGGGCATAGAGGTGCAAGTCGGTAATCCCAGCTACTTGGGAGGCTGAGGCAAGAGCATTACAAGTTGGAGGCCAGCCTGGGCAATTTAGTGAGATCCTGTCTCAAAATAATAATAAAAAGGGGTTAGGGTCATAGCTCAGTGATAGAGCACCATTGGGTTCAATACCTAGTACTGCCACCACTTCTGGCCTCAAAATTTTCTTTTAATGAAAATGGGGGTGTWGCTAGTGGCAGGGTACTTGCCTAGCATGCATAAGGCCCTGGGTTCAATCCCCAACACACACAAAAAAATTTTTTAAAGGTTAAAACAAATTTTATATTATATCTACTTTGCCACAATAAAAAAGTTTATGCAAGCCAGGCACAGTGGTGCCCGCCTGTAATCCCAGCGGCTCAGGAGGCTRAGACAGGAGGATCTCGAGTTCAAAGCCAGCCTCAGCAAAGGTCAGGTGCTAAGCAACTCAGGGAGACCCTGTCTCTAAATAAAATTCAAAATGGGGCTTGGGATGTGCCTCAGTGGTCGGGTGCCCCTGAGTTCAATTCCTGGTACTCCCCACCACAAAAAAAAAAAAAAAAACCAGTTTATGCACAAAAAACTTAAAGTTTATAGAGTGAACAAAGAAAGAACAAGAAACACAGGACCCCTGCTCAGACCCCTCGTCACACTATGCCTGCACATACACTTGCCCAGTCATAATCTAGGCTCCTGCTGTCAAATCCAAGATGTAGTTGAGGTCAGTGAGCCCCTGTTGTGGTCAGGAGCCACATGAGGCATCGGGGGGGGGGGGGGGGGGCCCAAAGCTGAACAGGCTACTGAATGGGCAAGGAGCCAACCTCCAGAAGAGCAATTCAGTCTCCAGATCTACATCCTCCCTTCCTCAGGAGGGGCTTCTCTCTCCCCGTCTCTGCCTTCTACCTGCTTGTCGGTTTCTGTCCCCCAACATCCTGCTCTAGTCCCCAGAGTTCTCTTAAACCCCAATACATTCATCTCATCCGCATGTGTATCCTATTAGTATTTTTCCTGTTGAAACAAATGCAAAGCCCATTCCTGAACTCTTTCCTAGGACACAGGAAAAGGAGTGGAAAAGACCCAGGTGTTGGGCTCTTGGCCCCCTCCTATTTCTCCCCTGTCTCCATCTTTTTTTAGGAAGGGCTGGCAGAAGTGAGGTGTTCTCTTTTTAAATACAGTCTCCTTGGCCGGGCGCAGTGGCACAAGCCTGTAATTCCAGGACCTCAGGAGGCTGAGGCAGGAATATTGGAAGTTCGAGGCCAGACCCAGAAACTTAGTACGACCCTGTCTCAGAATTAAAAGGACTAAGGAAATAGCTTGGGGGTAAAGCATCAATCTCCAGTACCAAAGAGTTCAATCTCCAATATCAAAAACAAACAAAAACAGACCCAGACCTCCTGACTTTCCAAGATCCTCGACCCTGGGGTGTTCCTGGCCATCCCCACCCAGTCTGGGTGTCCTGCTGCAGAACGCCTTACCTGTTGGGTTTCTCTCTGCAGCTGGCTTTCTGGAATGGTTCCTCTGGCTTGGGTTACTTCCCCTAGCTCTAAGCTCGGAGCCCCCAGGGTTACCAGACAACGGGTACCGCCCTCCACTCCCAGGGAATTGAGTGACAGCTCAGGTGGCCTATGTTAGTGCTATGCCCTGATGGTGCTGAGACACAGACACCAGAGATCTATTCCCCTTCCTGTCCCCCATCCCTGCAAACACCCCCACCCCAAGTCCCTTCCTTCAAGGAAAGTATCAGCCTCATAGGGCTGGTTACTAATTAAAACTCTAGAGCTCATCTCTCCTATCCCTTCCCTGCACAGGCAACATGGCTGAGGCTCAGAAAGAAGATGTGACTTCAAACAGGGCCCAGAGCAGTCATGTAGCTGGGATTAGACCCCAAGTTTTCTGGTTCAAGATAATTAGCCCTTCGCCCCTTCGCCATGCCGCGATTACAAGCTTTAATGGGCTTGGGCTGTTCTGGAGGTGAATCCTTTCACAGACACACACACTCTGACAAACTGTGCCTCTGTGTGGTAGTCTCACATTTGGGAACAGGATGAAAAAGGTTGATGGTCAGAAAAGGCCTGAAGATCAGAAGATCTCCCTGCCCCCAAACTCTTTTTCCTAGCTCCACTGATCTGCAACCTCCAGGTTCTGCTTAATGAGAGGACAGCAGGCCCCAGGACCACAGGGACCTAATGACCCAACTCTCCAAGGGTGGCCTGAATCAGAAAGCACATGTCCTCATTTACCTAGAGAAAGGCTTCTTTTAAGTAGAGAGTTCTTTGCCAGAAACGAACCTATAAGGAAGTTGTTGGGCTCACCTGCGTTTGCCCTGCAGCCTCTGCTGAGTGCTGGCTGTGGGCAGGCATCCTGCCAGACGTCCTAGAGGGTGCCCTTGCCCACGGCAGGCTCCTCTAGGCCTTCAGGACCCTACCACAGTCTAGCCCCGGGCTAAATTCGCAGCTCAGTCTGTCCTTCAATCAGCAGCCTTCCTTAAGGACAGATAGGATGGTTTGTGGCCAGGGAAAGGACCCAAACTGCTCTCACCAAGGTTCCAATGACCTTCCAATGATCCAGCGACCATTTCTGAATTATTTATTTTTTTTTGTACAGGTGCCAAGCTACATCCACAGCCCGTTTTATATGTTATTTAGAGACAGAGTCTTGCTAAGTTGCGTAGAGCCTTGCTAAATTGTGCTGAGGCTGGCTTTGGACTTTGTGATCCTCCTGCCTCAGCCTCCTGAGCTGCTGGGCTTACAGATGTGGGATTACAGAAGCACATGGCTTCTGAATAATTTCCTTGTTTGGTTTCACGCTGTATCTACTACATCCTTGCGCCTCTCCATTTACTTTCCATGACCCGTGTGTCCTGGCTCCGTCTTTCCTTCGCTGACAATTCCTCTTTCCACCTCCTAAGCTAGTTTTCCCCAAACTCTGTCCTTTGCCCTCTTTCAAGAACATTTCATCCACTCCTTTGATTTTGACACCACTGATAAGTCAATAATTTCTGTAGACTTAACTTGTCCAAATGAAACTCCTGTTTCTTCATGTTCATAGTGTTACTAGTAGAAACCCAGGAGAAAAACCTCAGCTCCTTCTTTGATTCTTAGCCCAATGATTGCACCTTTCTTTCTTTTTCTTTTGTTAGTGGGGTGGGGAGTGGGTACTGGGGATTCAACCCAGGGGCATTTTACCACTGAGTTACATCCTCAGCCCTTTTTATTTTTTGAGACAGAAGCGCTTACAGCCTCACTAAGTTGCTGAGGTTGGCTTCAAACCTGCAATCCTCTTGTCTCAGACTCCAGAGCCACTGGGATTACAGGCTCTCCAGTCCTTTTTTAAAATTTTGAGATAGGGTCTCACTAAGTTCCTCAGAGAGGGTGTCCCTAAATTGCTGAGGCCAGTCTCCAACTTGCAATCCCCCTGTTTCAACCTCCTAAATTGCTGACATTACAAGTATGTACCTCCTCACCTGGTTAATGGTTTTACCTTTGAAATTCATGTCCAGTGTATAATCTTTTCCACGGTCTCATGACTCTGACCTTGGAGGTGAAACTGTATATAGTGGCTAAGAACTTAAACTTGGAAGGGGACTATCCAATTTAAATCTTGGCTCTACCTGTTGAGAGCCACAGCCTAGTCGGAATGGCACCTGGCATACTACCAGAGGAGTGGTTGAGAGGTGACTCCATCGAGCCATTAAGATGATGATAATTAAGTTAAGCTGTGTATAATTGCTGTGACTGGATGGTGCTGGATTGAAACAGGCTGTCTATTCAGTTGTATATGGACCCCTGCTGTCTGGCAATAGGGCAGCTCCTGCTGCCTTGGGCTCTCGCCTGCCCAGTTGAGTTCCCATTGAGTTCTGGTTGAGCTCTCGTGGGGATTCCTGAAGAGTTCCTGTTGGTTGGTGAGGTTCCGGTGGAGAGAGTTCCGGTTGGTGTGTGGTGTTCCTGGGAGGGCCGCGTGGGTGGTGTTCGCGGGACTTGGGGCAATAAAGGAGTTCCTGTTTGAACCTACAAGTGCCTCGTGACGGCTCCGTTATCTTGTGCTTAGCCAGACTGCGGCATCTACCAATTATTAGCTGTGTAGAGCCTCAGTTTATCATCTACATTGTGAAGATTAAGTAAGATGGTTCTTATGATGCTAAATAAAGCATCTGGAATATAAGCACTCAATACATATTGACGTCATGTGTTGGTATATAACTTTGGTGTACAAGAAATACATCTCTACTCGTCTCTGTTTCTTGCCCCAATTCTGCTGGGGTTGTGGAAGCAATGTGAGTCCGTTTGGGGGTTTGCTCTCTTCTTTCTCCCAGGGTGGGGCCCAAGAGGAGATGATATGATGATATGTGCTACCAAGTCTTGAGAGGGGAGGCCCATCTGGTCCTCAGCCATCTGTTCACAAAGGTGTCCACTGACACCACCCTCCTTCTTATCCTGCTGACCCTTTCAGGCCCAGACCTTCACCAAGCAGAAGAGGAGGGAACTTGACTTCGTATTGGCTAGGGAATTTCTGCACAGCTGTCTAAGGGTGTATCTGCCTGGCTTCTGAAGCTCTTCGTCTCAGGGTCCAGTACTACTAGAAGCCTTCCCAGCCTCCCAGGAAGTGGAATATGGAACTCCTATCACCAGGAGCACCCGGGCACCTGGACTCTCTCTACTTCCCCCAGCTGGCAAGAGGCAAGGGGAATACTCACTGTCTTCAAATCTTACTTTTCTGAGTATTGCCTCAGCACTGAATCTTCTCTGTTCCTCTGAAGGCTGTAGGTTTGGATGCTTTCTGTTTTCTGCCCATTCACACGTCTCCCCTGATTCAGTGAGCATAGATGGCCTGGTTACTTGAGTGGAGATAGGAAAAATACAAGATGAGGGACCCCATCAAAAAACATGCCAAAAATATTTTCCAGCATAATTATTGTTATAGTTCTCTTTTATTAGTTCAGGTCTTTATTATCTTTCATCAGGGCTACTGCATTAGTCCCCCGTTGGTCTCTGTCCTTAGCAACATCTTCCTCCAAGCCCCTGCTAGAAGAGGACTCTTTCTAAATTGTAAATCAGGTCCTGATCTAGGTCTAAAGGGCTCCCTGTCTGATAACTGCTAACCAGACCCCATCCCAACACCTTAGCATGACACCAATGTTGTGTGGGACCTGGCTTGACCTCAGAGATCCCATCCTGCCTCTCCCTGGCTGAGCTTTGTTCTCCCCTGAAGCTGAATTTGGTTTTATTTCCTCAAATCACTTAAAAACAAAAAACAAAAAACCGGGGATTGAACTCAGGGGCACCCGACCATAGAGCCACATCCCCAGCCCTCTTTTGTATTTTATTTAGAGACAGGGTCTCACTGAGTTGCTTAGGGCCTCTCTAAATTGCTGAGGCTGGGGTTACAGGCAAGAGCCACCCCTCAGGCTTCTCCAAATCACTTTTTGAACAAGCTGTTTCCGCTGACCCGAATGCCTGTCTCCTTCAATCTGATAAATTCGCTTTCACTTTTCAACCCACATCAGCTGTCAACCTCCAAAAGGAAGACTGCCCAGCCCTCCACTGCAAGGACTGCCTCCCCCCTGTGTGTCGCTGACCCTAATGTATCTGACGACACGGCTGTCCGGCTGTCCGTCCTAGAACAGCAAACTCAGCTCCAGCTTTCACTGCATCATCCATTGCTGCTCCACCACCTGCTTTAGTGCACAGCACCTAGTAGGCCCGCAAGCTAGCGAGACCCAAAAAAACAATGGGAAACAGGGCCGGTAACGGGAACACTACGGAGGAAGGACAGAGGCGAGGCTAGGGGCAACGAAGGAGCCTGGGGAAACGGCGAGGCAGGAGAGCGCCGCCTCAGGTGGCCCGCATCCTCCCCACCTGGGCCGCCGGACTCCGCGGCCGAGGACTACAAATCCCAGGGTCTCCCGCGGCGGACACCGGAAGTGTCCTTCCCAGGGTGGCGACGGAGAGGGGCGGTGGCCCAGCGGCGGGAGATTCAAACCTGGAAGAAGGAGGAACATGGAGGGGAGAGGAGCGGGCCTGGGCCGGGCGGCCTGTGAGTGCTGAGAGGGTCCCTGAGGGTCCGGGGGGCTGCTGCTGTGGGGTCGTGGCCATGGCGGGCAGGGTGGCTCGGGGGCTTCACCGGGCTTGCGGGGCGAGCGGCGGGGGACCTGGCCGGTGCGAAACGCCCCCCGCTGCCGGAGCTTTCCAGAACCTTCTCATSCCCGAACCGTGGGACTGCAGGGCGGGAGAACGCAGTGGCCTAGGCCCCTGAAAAACTCAGCTGTTGCTGATGACCGACGGCCCTGCCCAGCGCCGCCGAGGAACGGGACTCCTGGGGAACCTGGGAAGCCCTTGGGCTTTGAGACAGTGTCCCCCAGGTGCCCGAATGGCCCGAGAGGCTTGTTAGAGTGCAGATTCCCAAGTTCCACCCCGGAGTTCCCGCTCCGTAGATCTGGGCTGGAGCCCGTAGTCAGCGTTTATAAGGAGCACCCCACCCAGGTGGTGGAGGCCGGTGGTCCTGAGCCTCACTTCCAAGGCACTGCGCTAGGGACCGAGATGGGTTGGAAGGAAGGGAGGGCAGGTCTCCGTCAGATAGTCTGAATGACAGGCAAAACCTGCTAGCTCTTCCTTCACCCCCCCCTTCTCCGTTAGGATTGAGAGAGAGAGAGGGAGAGAGAGAGAGAGAGTGAGTTGTATGTGCAAAGTCCTTCAGTCCTCAGTTCATAACTCTGAGGTGATGTCACCCACTTACTGTTTTATTTTCCATGCTCAACAGCCAACACTTGTTCCTTGTACACCCCCTCAGAGGAACTGATGGATTTCCTGTGGTTGGCCAGTGCTTTCAAATCTGTACTTGGAGATATGTGTGTGTGTGTGTGTGTGTGTGTGTTAGCTTTCATAACTGCCAGTTCATAACTGCTACTGTCCTGCCCTCTCCCAAACCATATTGCTGGATATGCAATATGAGGAAATAGGATCAGGAGTGAGAATGACATTAAATGCTGAGTCAAAGACAGAATCACCAAGCTCTGACTCTCTAGGATCTCTCTGTTTATCCTTCTGGTGGGTGTGTTTCAATTTCTCTTACCCTTTGTGTTTGATTTTGAACTGTCTTCCCTAAAGAGAAATATATATATATATAATTTTTTATTTTTATTTATTTTATTTATTTATTTTTAAAAAAAATTTTTTTTTTAATATTTATACTTTTTTTAGTTCTCTGCAGACACAACATCTTTATTGGTGTATGGTGCTGAGGATCGAACCCGGGCCGCACGCATGCCAGGCGAGCGCGCTACCGCTGAGCCACATCCCCAACGCCTATTTATTTATTTTTTATTTTTTTTTGAGAGAGAGAGAATTTTTTATTATTTATTTTTTTAGTTTTCGGTGGTCACAACATCTTTATTTGTATGTGGTGCTGAGGATCGAACCCAGGCCTAGAATATAGAGTTGGGGGAGAGGAGGAGGCAGAGCTTAAATGGAGGCTGAGGCTAAGTTCACATGGGAGGACAATATCATTTAAGGCATTTCCACTTCTCAAGTTTAAATTCAGAATGCTGTCTGCATTTTATTTAACTTGAAAGTTATTTTGCTCCTCGATGACCTATAACAAAAGAATAGCTAAAGTACCTTTGTGGTTTACAAAAATTCTCTTTGCCCTTCCACTTAATCCCAAGTGAGTGGTGTGGTTCTCACTGCTGGACCACCTTTTCTTCTTTCTGTTTGTTTGTTTATTTATTTCTGTAATACTCAGCACCACATATAAATAAATAAAATAAAGATATTGTGTCCACCTACAACTAAATATATATATATATATAAGAAAAAGTAAAGTTCTGGGGGCTAGGAACATAGCTCAGTGGTAGAATACTAGCCTAGCATGCATGAAGCCCTGGGTTTGATCCCCGGCACCGTTAAAAATAAAAAGAAGGGGCTGGGGTTGTAGCTCAGTGGTAGAGCGCTCACCTAGCACGTGCAAGGCCCTGGGTTCCATCCTCAGCACCAAATAAATAAATAAAGGCATTGTGTCCAAGTACACCTAAAAAATAAATATTTAAAAAAAAAGAAGAAGAAGAGTAGAATCCACTAGTGCCCAGGGCCTGGTCAGAAGGAGKTATTGAATGAATGAGTGGCTGTTGAATGATGAATCCTGGGTGGTTCTGTTAATTGAGCCTTTGAGGGAGCACCTGACGAGGATGGCACAGGTCACCCTCTCGGAGAACTCAGAGGCTAATTAGGAATAAATTATGGAGTGAAATTTTCAGCCAAGGAGGGTTCTAGAACAGCCCTGCTCGGGCAGGATGGAGGGAAGAAGGAGGAGGACAAGAAGATGTCTACAGAGGCAAGGGAAGAAACACCTCTGGCATAGGAGGCCCCCTGGTAAAGGCTGTCCTGGAAGAGGAATGGGGACGCATCAGGACTCTGAGCAGGGCTGCCTCGGGAAGTCTGCTAAAGCTTCGGTGCTGAGGCCCTCACGGACCTTCTTCCCTCCGCAGACGAGCGCCTCACAGCTGAGGAGATGGATAACCAGAGGAGGCAGAACGTGGCCTATCAGTACCTGTGTCGGCTGGAAGAAGCCAAGCGGTGAGTGAGGCCCAGCAAGATGGACTCCTCCTGGTCTCCTTTCCCACTCCCCCACCCCCAGGCACCTGCTCCCAAAGCCCATGCAACAGGATGAAGGTCTGTTCTGTGGGAAAGGGCAAGCTGAAATAGCATCTTCTCTCTTGAGGGGGTTATTTTGGTACTAGGGGCTGACTCAGGGGTGCTTTACCATTGATCTACTCTCCCAGCCCTTTTTTATTTTTTATTTGGGACATTCTCACTAAGTTGCCCAGGCTAGACTTGAACTTGCCTTTTGCCTTAATCTCCCAAGTTGCTGGGACCACTTGCGTGGGTCAGCATGTTCTGTTTCTTTAAGGCAAACCCCAAACATTACATCTTTTTAATCCCTTTCATACTTCAATGCATATTTCCAAAACCTGTGGACATTTGCTTACATAAGACCCAACTAAATTATCTGTCAGTCCCTGGAAGATCAATGCCCAGGCCACTTTCAGATTGTCCTGATTGTTGAAAAGGACAACTAGTTTTTTCCCTTCGACTCATTCAAATAAGGTTCTAGAGAAGCTCTCGTCGTATTACACTTACCTCTTCAGTCTTCTTTAATCCAGAGCAGCTCACCTCCCCATTTTCCGTTTTTATGTCATTGACTTCTTTAAGAAACTGGATCACTTTTCCTGTAGAACATCCTACATTCTGACTTTATTTGCTTCCTTGTGTCATTCAACTTGTTCCTCTAAACCCCAAATTTCCTATAAATGGATGTTGGTTCTAAAGGCTTGATTAGATTCAGGTTCAACATTTTTTTTGACAAGTAGACTTCATGGGTGGTGGTGTGTTTCACTTCACATCTCATAGGAGGAACAGTGTCTGCTTGTCCCACTTTAGGGATGTTAGTGTGATCTGGGAGCTCAGGTTATAGCCTTTTCTTTATTTTAAAACTCACCATTACCTTTCTAAAGGCTTCCTCCATGGTTGACCCACCAGAATCTATTATTTTATTGGAAATGCAAAGTAACTGTTTTCTAATTCTGTTATGTCTTCTTCATTAATCAGCTGAAAATCTGCTCAAACAAGACCAAACAAAACTTTCCCTCATCATCTTGGGACTATTTGGTTATTCTACCATCCAATTTATCCAGGAGGAGGAGCAGGATAAACATCTAATTTCTTTCCTTTTGTGTGTGAGGGTGGGGAGGGAGTACTAGAGATTGAACCCAAAGTGCTGTACCAGTGATCTAAAGCCCCAGTCCTTTTTATTTTTTATTTTGAGATAGGGTCTCATTGAGTTGCTGAAGCTGGCCTTGAATTTGTGGTCCTCCTGCCTCAGCCTCCAAAAACTGGGATTACAGGCATACACCACTGCGCCTGGCCAAAGCTGAGTTATGAGCCATATAACATGAGCTTTCTGCACCCAAACATGAGCAAACATGAGCTTTCTGCACCAGCTTCCCAGGGAACAATGCAATATGGAAGAAGAAGCAGATTCACCTTGGTTCAGYAGACTGTTACACAGCCAGGCAGACGAGAGCTTATGTTATATAACAAGCAAAGTCTGTTTAAGCCTCACTGAAGATGGGCAGGTGCAGGATCCCTGAGGGAGGATTTTCTGGCTGAGGGTTGGCTTGTCCAGGTATTTGGGGCAGCTTGGAAGAAGGTGGGATCAGTCAGGCAACGGGGCAGAAGGGGAAGGGTGTGGGAGGGAGGACAGGTCCTGCAGTTGGTATAAACTAGCATGGCCCACCAGAGCCAGTGAGAAGGCTCTCTGCTTTCCTGCTCCTAGCTGGATGGAGGCCTGCCTGAAGGAGGAACTTCCTTCCCCGGTGCAGCTGGAGGAGAGCCTCCGTAACGGAGTGTTGCTGGCTAAGCTGGGCCACTGTTTTGCGCCCTCTGTGGTTCCCCTGAAGAAGATCTACGACGTGGAGCAGCTGCGGTACCAGGCGAGCACTCTCTATTTTCCTCCTCTCAAGCTACCCCGTCACCTTGCAGCTGCRAGCATAGAGTGCCCATATAATTTATTGTCCAAATCTGGATACTTTAAATGATGAAAGAGGATGCTATTAATTATTGCACTGGGACAACAGGTATTCATCAGTGTGTCTCTGTCAAGTGGGCATGGATCATTTTTAGCAGCAAGGACACTTGCTAGGTGTGGTTTAAGATGGCCCTGAGGGCTTGGGATGGAGCTCAGGGATGGAGCTCAGGGACAGAGAACTTGGGTAGCATGTGCAAGGTCCTGGTGTTCATTCCCAGCACAGCAAAGTTAAAAAGAAAATGATGACCCTGAGATTAGAACTGCTTGCAGACTCCTCTGCCCACAGGCTTCACACAGTGACTTGTGGGCTTTGCCACCTGAGTTCTTCCTGGGCATGCACCTCTTCTCCATGCTGTAGCCAGCTCAAACCTCCTCTCAGCTCCAGACTCCCCCTTGCTGGATTGTTAGCCCCACCCCTGTGCCGTCAATTCCAGCTGTCCAAGTGGATCATCCATTCCTGGTGGCTTCTCTGTCGTGTTCCTCTGTCCTGGGAGGATGGGAAATCCACAGGGCGGGGTCCTACGAGGCTTTCCCCACCCTTTCCTCTTGACTCTCTAAGCTGTGGTCTGCTCTCTGCCCATAAGGAACACTGACAACTGTGGAAATAAATTCTTCTCTCTTCCCTTCCCTTTCAGGCAACGGGCTTGCATTTCCGCCACACAGACAACATCAACTTTTGGCTGTCGGCCATTGCCCACGTCGGTCTGCCTTCGGTAACACTGGGCCTCAAGATGGTTTCCCATGTTCGGGCTCTGGGTGGGGCTCAGTGGCAGGATGCTTGTCTAGCATGCATGAAGCCCTGGTTCCATCCCCAGCACCGCAAACAAACAAACAAAAAGATTGTTGTTCATCTTTACCTTCATCAGTCCCCCGTCCGACCCCCAGCTCCATAAGCTTTATCTTCCTGGGCTCCCATCTTCATGTATCTTCTAAATGACTCTAAGAGAACAATTCCTTGGGGCTCTGTGTCTTTGAACTGAGTTCCTTAGTCTCTGTTCCACTTCCCTATGGATAAAATGAGGTGAAGGTCTTCTGGCCTGAGTTGCAGCTGCCATTCTGCAGTGGGGCCCCTGTGTAACCCCACAGATATGCTTATATCAGCCAGCCATCTCTCCATGAGAATTCCAATGGAGTAGGGACATCCTTAGGTGGTGGGCTTCAAGTTGGACTCCTAGGCCCAAGACCCTGGCTGGGTGCCTGCTGCATGTTCCTTTACTCTGTGAATCTCAATTTGTTTCTCAACTTTGAAATGGATAAAGAACCCTGCCCTGTTTTATCTTCTGATGGGATCCCATGCTCAGTGCAAATCCTCTTTGTAAAGAACTACAAGGCATGATAGGATTCTCTAAGGTGTGGTTCTTTTGCATTTTGTTTTCCTTCCCTGTAGAAGGGAAACAGTAGTGAAGAAAGATGCCGCCTTTTTTTTTTTTTTAAGATATAGAGAGAGAATTTTAATATTTTTTAGTTTTTGGCGGACACAACATCTTTGTTGGTATGTGGTGCTGAGGATCGAACCCAAGCCACACGCATGCCAGGCGAGCGTGCTACCGCTTGAGCCATATCCCCAGCCCCCTTTTTTGGTTTTTGACGGGAGGCAGAAGCGATGGAGGGCGTGTGCCTTCCGTGGGTCTGGCATTAAGTCTCTAGATTTGGTCCTTTATCCTAAGCCTACATGTAACCAAGATGTRTTGAGGTTAGGTCTCATTATAGTCACCAGAGAAGACATGCCTGGGGTGACCCAGTTCTTAAAGGGGCCATCACTGATCAGGGCCTCTGACTTGGAGACAGGGATGACATACCCTGATGTCTTTGTGCTCCCTGGCAACGCATGCCTTGTTGGGCTCCCCAAGGGAACATGGCCAGCCCCCCAGCATATCGCCTTTCTGGTGGGAATCTAAGGTGAGGGGCACAAGCATAGGCTCATTGTGGCTATAAGTGACTGGGGCCTGTTTTTCCTGGAATATAGGGTTTGTATCCTGTGGCCTTGATGGCATCATCTGGGGTTGAGTTAAACCGGGCACCCTGTGACTGAGTGACTGTGGCTGTCTTGGCTTAGTGTGTCCCCAGTGCTGTTCTTTTTTTATTATTTTTTGGTACTGGGGATTAAGYCCAGCGGCACTTAGCCACTGAGCCACATCCCCAGTCCTTTTTTATATTATTTAGAGGCAGAGTCTCACTGAGTTGCATAGGGCCTCRCYAAGTTGCTGAGGCTGGCTTTGAACTCACGATCCTCTTGCCTCAGCCTTCTGAGCAGCCACCGTGCCCAGCTGCCTTTCATTTATATTGAACTGCCTAGAAATGGCTAAGGAGACTGACGTAGAAGCCTCGGGCATAGGGGACACACCTCGGGTTGGAGAGGAAGACCCAGTTGCTCCGCTCCTCTGCACATGCCTGGTGCTGCTCAAAGGTCCTCAGTGGTGGTAACTGGCTGGTTTCCCCTCTAGACCTTCTTCCCGGAGACCACAGACATCTATGACAAGAAGAACATGCCCCGGGTGATCTACTGCATTCATGCTCTTAGGTGAGAGATCCCAAATTCTGTCACCCAGGTTCCTCTGGGTARATGTAACCAACAATTGTCAAGAAACACAATAGGAAGGAGGGAGGGTAGACCACAGAAAGCACCTCTCCAGAAAGTTAGAYTCACCAGGGTAAGTTGAGATTTATGTGACATTTATGTGAGAAAGAGCAGTTGGGGTGGATCCTTCAGCTTGTGACTGGGGTATAAAGGAATCRGAATAGGACCCATCCAGAGCGTCAYACGCAAGCCACTGAGTGTGAATGGCAAAGGCTGTCATTTAACTAAACCACAGACCAGTTTCTGTGGTCACCATGCCATCTCTTCCTGCCTTCCCCTGTCCTTTGTGCCTCCATTCCTGGGCTTGCTGAGCCCTTCCTGTCCTCCGTCTCCATCCTGTGACCTCCTACTGCAGTGTACCCTTTGCAAAGCCTTCCCAGTCCCCCAGACCTCCCACAGCATCTTGCTGACCTTCTGTAGCACTTGCTTTGGGCTGATGGATGACATTTCTCCCTGTGGACTGGGGGTGGCTTGAGGGCAGGCGTTGAGTGGCCTTCTGGTCCCCACAGTGTCCCCACAAACTCACTGTAGGCAGAGCACTGAAATGAACAGGCCCCAACGCCTTCCGTTCTTCCCCAGTCTCTTCCTCTTCCAGCTAGGATTGGCCCCTCAGATCCACGATCTCTACGGGAAAGTGAAATTCACAGGTAAGCCCAGCTCCTTCCTAGACATCACCACCTGGCCAAGGCCTGGGGAGGCCTGGCCTGACCAAGGGCACCTGTGGTCTCTTTCCAGCCGAGGAACTCAGCAACATGGCCTCTGAACTGGCCAAATACGGCCTCCAGCTGCCTGCCTTCAGCAAGATCGGGGGCATCCTGGCCAATGAGCTCTCTGTGGATGAGGCTGCAGGTGGGGCCTGGGCTCTGCCCTGCTGGGAGTCGGCCCAGCGAACGTGGGAGGACTCCAGGCCTCCCAGTGCCCGGCTCTGTTCTCTGACGTCCATAGGCGTGGGTGGTCAGTTACCTGGCTTCTGGGGATGAAAAGGGGGTGACGTAGAGTGGCCCACAACGGGTTGGGCTCTGGCCTGGCATTTTTCCTGGYCTTCTGACCTGTTCCTGTGTCTCCGCCCAGTCCACGCAGCTGTCCTTGCCATCAATGAGGCAGTGGAGCGAGGGGTGGTCCAGGACACCCTGGCTGCCCTGCAGAACCCCAGTGCCCTTCTGGGGAATCTTCGAGAGCCTCTGGCAGCCATCTACCAGGAAATGTTGGCCCTGGCCAAGGTGGAGAAGGCTGCCAATGCCAGGAACCACGTAAGGACCCCAGGGGAGGGCGAGCCAGAGTGAGTGGCTGGGGAAGTCTCAAGTGGAACAGGACACCTGGGTCCCGTCTCTAAGTCCCGAAGCTGCTTCTTAGAGAAACTGTAACTAGAGTATCTTAGAGAAATGGAGAGGAACATGGGAGAAGGGTGTGAATTCAGAAGAGTCAACTGGAGAAGAGGCTCTGGCAGCATGGTCTCCAGGGGAAGCCTGAGCGGCTCTGGAATGGGGGACAGGATGAGATTAGACTGGAGATTCCAAAGGTGGGTCTGGTTTAACTGTGTCAGGGTCAGGGGTTCGACCCCACACTATCYCCAGAGTCCTTAGGAGTGGACTGACCTTTGGTCTTGGGAAGGTCTACAGAAGAAGAAATCAGTGTAGACAGGGAGGGAGGAGAAGAAGACTCCACTGGTCTTCCTAGGAGTCCCACTCAATGTGGTTTTTGCAGGATGACAGGGAAAACCAGGACATCTATGACTACTACCTAACCCAGGCTGAAATCCAGGGCAACATCAACCATGTCAATGGTAAGAGACAGGCACCGCCTTTGCACTGAAAGGCTGAGGGATGCCTTCTCCGGCCAGGAAGCCCTTTGGCCCCACTTGGGCCACCTGTTACCTCTGGGAAATCTAGGTCTGAGGAGTGCTGCYCTGCTTTCTAGCTATCAGTGTCCGGAGGAGAAGTGGTCCCTCCAGGGAAGTTTCTGTTTGCTTGAAGGCCCAAGGAGGGAGCAGAGACAAAGGGGCAGAACTTTCAGCTCCTGGTGCAGGGGGGCAGTTGGACCTRGGGTCCCTTGGAGAAGGGAATGGGGTAAAGATGAAGGAGATCAGGGCAGGAAGGGCAAGATGGGTGGGCATTTTCCAGTTGGGGTTAGAATATCCTCAGGGTCCAGGATGGTAAGATGGAAAGGCTGTGAAGACCAAGCTGGAGAATTGGGGCTGGACCAAATGGGCCCTGGAACCCAGGGGACAAGGGTGGAGGTAATTCTGGGCCTGTAGGAAGAAGCAGATTCCCAGGGCTGGGCTGGGCTGTAAGAGATGGGCTGTCTCACACTAATCATCGTGGAGTCTTGGTCTTTATCAGTCCGTGGGGCTCTAGAAGTCATTGATGAAGCCCTGGAAAGACAGAGCCCTGAARCCTTGCTAGAGGCCCTTCAGGACCCTGCCCTGGCCCTGCAAGGGGTGAGAAGAGACTTTGCTGACTGGTACCTGGAACAGCTGAGCTCAGACAGGGAGCAGAAAGCACAGGTGAGGTTCTRTTACCTGACACTCTTTCCCGCGAGGTAGGAGAGGGCTCTTCTCAGYGTCTCCACTGTTAGTTCTTTGTATTCAGCAGGATGTGATCAACTGCTTAGATGGTTCAGTCACCCCAAAGCCTAGTGCATGAGACTAACCAGCTTCTACTCTCTGACAATCCCTCAGACTAACTGGGAGGGACCCAGGAGCCGTCTAGTTGGCAGACTCCCCCATTGCTGAACTGAGACCTCAACTTAGTCTTGTTTTCAGTGCTGCGGACTTTCTCTCTGACACTGTGGACATTTGTGTTGTCTAGGTTGTTGCTTCAAGTTCTTGGTAAGAAAAGTTAACGATGGGTTAATTGCCTGGGTGTCATAGTGCACACCTGTAATCCCAGCTGCTTGAGAGACTAAGGCAAAAGGATYACAAGTTCCAGATCACTCTCAAAAACTTAGCAAGACTGTCTCAARATAAAATAAAAGGGAGGGCTGGGGYTGKGGCTCAGTGGCAGAGCGCTTGCCTAGCATGTGTGAGGCACTGGGTTCMATCCTCAGCACCACATATAAATAGATGAATAAAATAAAAATTCATCAACATCTAAAAGTATTTTAAAGATATAAAGGCCTGGGTGTCAGATGCAGTGATACCCATAATCCCAATGATTCGGGAAGCTGAGGCAGGAGAATTGCAAGTTTGAGGCCAATCTGAGTAATTTTGTGAGACCCTGTCTCAAAATTTTAAAAATAGCTGGGGCTATGACTCAGTGTTAAAGTACCCAGGGGTTCATGGAGGACACTTGTAATCCAAGCAACTCCAGAAGCTRAGGCAAGAGGATCACAAGTCCAAGGCCAGCCTAGGCAACTTAGGGAAACCTTGTCTCAAAAACAAAAAAATTTTTTAAGAGATGGGGGTATAACTGAGAGACAGACGCACCTCGGTTCAATCCCCAATGCCAATAAGAAGAAGAAATAAATAGAAAGGGCTGGGAATGTAGCTTAGTGATAGAGCACTTGCCTAGCATGTGTGAGGTTCTGGGATCAATTTTCAGTACCAGAAAAGAAAAAAATATATATATGGGTTAATAGGATGGGTTGACCAGGTTATTTTGCCTAAAGGTGAGAGAGGTAGGACTGGGGGAGGGTGGGTTGGAGGAGCTGGGAGCTCTTGCTGGCCACTCCTGAAGMATGTCCCAGGTCCTGGAGACTTTTCTTTTACTGGCTCTCTTCCCTCTTTCAGGAGCTGGGCCTGGTGGAGCTTCTGGAAAAAGAGGAAGTTCAGGCTGCTGTGGCTGCAGCCAATACCAAGGGTGATCAAGAGCAAGCCAGTAAGTCCTCCCCAGGCCGAGGCCCAGCCTGGGTGGCTCCCAACCCCTTAAAAGAGCATCCCATCCCTTCCTGGGTTCTGTATTGAGCAAGGCTCACGACTGCCCAGTGTCCCAGCCCAGCAAGGGACTTTCCCCCTCACATACTCGGCTCCCATTCCTGGCTGGCTGGAGGGACACTACAGATAAGTTAATCAGGGCCTTAGAGATAGTGCCTTGTCAGTGCTGCACTGKCCTGGACTCCTGGGCATGCAGTTTCCATCCGGGCAGTTCACCTATAATTTTGACAAGTGTCAACCTGCTTGAATTTCTTTGGCTTATGAAATGTAGTGATTTCCCAGGTGAGAGAAGAAACTCATATTCTAGCTCAGTTTCCTTTAAAAACATTACTTACGAATATCATTCCTTATTCAAARAATGTGAATGAGTCATGATTTCCCTCCAAGAGGTCAGTCTGTCTAGCCAGAGTGAAGAGAGGGATGCTCAGGCTGGCTACCGTGGCCTGCAGACACTAGATCGGTCACGACTGCTTGACTCGGTCTGACTTGCTGTCAGGTTCTGAGGTTGCTTGGTAGCCATTTACCTATGCCTAGCAGCTTTCCAATGCCAGCTCACAGTAGCCCCCAGGTCACTCCTGGCTAGCTGCTTGCCTTATCTGCGTGGCTGGAACATTCCCGCTGGCTATTGCCAGAGGAATCTCAAGCACAGATCAGATCTCCTCTCCCTTGTTGAACATCTTCAGATCTTCCTGGGTTCTTTCATTATTTATCCTCCACTTTGGTCCTATCTCCTTGGCCTGGCAGATAAGACCTTTCCAGAATTCTTCCCCACCTCTTCTGTCCGCATTCCATTCCGCTCTGCTGAGCCGAGGACCTGCTCCTGATGCCCCCAGCCTTTCCCAGCACCAGGCCTCTGGTCCTCTGGATTGCATCTCTCCCACATTTTCACCTGTCAGGAGCAGACGGAGACACCTCTTAAAGCTGTCTCAAAGACATGGTTTTCCTCCGTGAGGCCTCGCTGCTCCCTCGCAGCCAGAATCCCTCCTCCCCTGCTGCCGTAGCCTTCCCTGGGGACGGGGAGAGTACTTCTCACCTGGCCTTGACAGCAGTRCTCCACGGGTATTTTTGTAGCCGTATTTCTCCCCAGGAGGCTGTGTGCTCCTTGATGCCAGGGTCCACATCTGCCCAGAGTTTGTAAACTGAAACTACTCAAATGCACCATGGCCCCCTTCGAGTTTATTCCCGCCTGTTGAGCTGGTTCCATACTCCTCTGCGCTGTCACCAAGGTTTGGTCCCTGGAGCCCCTTGACTAAGCTTCTCTTAGTTACGCTTCGTAGCCACCTGTCAATCTTGTGCTCACTATCTTAGGAGCTCACCTCTGCCTTGACAGCCGCTCCTGTTCTTGCTGAGCTACTCTACTTCCAGGCCTGACAGATTGCTTCTTCAGGAGCCTCTTCTTAAAGCAACCCAGCCCCTTTTCCTCCTGAACATTTAGAAACACGTTTTGAGCCTGAAGAATGAATGGCTTTCTAGAGCGATTACAAGGCCATTACCCCTCGGAGGTCCCCCTCAGAGCCCAGTTAGCCAGGAGAACCCAGGCAGGGAAGGCTGARCCTGGGCATCCTCTTGCTTTCCTCCCCTGCAGTGCTCCAGGCTGTGAGGCGGGTCAACAAAGCCATCCAGAGGGGAGTGGCCGCTGACACTGTGCGGGAGCTGATGTGCCCCGAAGCCCAGCTGCCTCCAGTGTATCCCTTTGCCGCCACTGTGTACCAGCAGGAGCTGGCAGTGCTCCAGCAACAGCAGCAGGGGGTAAGCCCAAAAGGGCAGGGCCAGGGGCTGCAGGCAGAGGGACCAGGGCAGTCCCTTCTCCCAGATGCTGGCAGGAGATAGGCCAGGGAAAGTGCTGTCACTTTTGCTTTCCTGAGCATTACCCAGCCAATGCCCCTGAGCAAACCCTGTTCTGCACTCACTTAGTCCTGAAGGGGACCCCGCTGGGTAAGGAGGAGTATTTCCATTTTAGAGGTAAGGAAACCGAAATGCAAAGTAACTTGTGCAACCAGCAATGCTGGGAGTGAATGCAAGGTGGAATGTACTGGAAGCACATGCTCTGAACAACTCCACCATTCACCTCAGTCCAGTCCGTCCAGCTTCTCTGACAGTGAGATGATGGGACCTTGCTCAGGGACTCCCTGTCTATGGGGGAGTTATAATACCCCTGTGGGTCCAGACAGAGACAGGAAGGGAGAGCAGACGACATAGCTGCAAGAAGGCTTCAGAGCAGGGGGTGAGGCAGCAGAGCCTGGGCCCTGGGAAGGCTTCCGGAGACAGGAGAATCGTCCACCCACAGCAGGCATTTGCAGGGCGGCTACCCTGGCACAAGCTGCGCCTTCAGGAGGAGCAGTCGCCACCTGTGAATCCCCTTAGAACAAGGAAGCWCGAAATGAGTACCAAGAGGTAAACCAGAGCGAGCGAGGTTAGGGACTTCAGAGGCCCCAGTTTATGTCTGCTAGTCCTTAGCTGTGTGACATTGGGCAAGTCGTTCACCCTCTCCACCCGTCACTGTTTTGTGAATAAAAAGGGAACAATAAGCCAAGCATGGCGTCTCATGCCTGTAATCCCAGCAGCTCAGGAGGCCGAGGCAGGAGGATCGTGAGTTCAAAGCCAGCCTCCACAACTTAGTGAGACCCTCCCTAGGCAACTCAGTGAGACCCTATCTCTAATATATATATATATATATAAAAGGGCAGGGGATGTGGCTCCTTGGGTAAACACCCTCTGGGTTCAATCCTTAGCGCTTGCCTAGCATGCATGAGGCACCAGGTTCAATCCTCGGCACCACTTAGAAATAAACAAATAAAGGCATTGTCTCTACAACTACCAATAATAATAATAATAATAAAAAAGGCAGGGGCAACAATCATATATCTACCTCATCGGATTGTCCTAAGGATTCAGTGAGTTAACAGGTGCTTCGAGAGAGGGCCTGGTAAGGAGGTCCTGGCTATCTACTATTTGTTGTTAGTTGCACTGTTCTGTTGATAGAAAGCAGGAAGGGTGCTCAGACAGAGAGAATAGCATCAGCAAATATTTGAAGAGGAGGTGGATGAGAACTGGGCAGAGAAATGGGTCCAGGGCCTTGCCATGCGCAGCACAGGGTGGAGGTGCCCTCTGCCCCCATCTCTGGCCTAGCGCAGTTCTCTTTTCCCCTGGTACTGAGGATGAAGACCAGAGCCTTGCTCTGCTCTCAGCCCAGAGCAGGACTGACGTGAAGTAGAGACTAGAAGGTCTCTGGCAGAGTCCACTGCTTAGGTCTGCGCTCTGGAATCGGCAGTTGGGTTCAACAGACATTATTGGCCACGGGCTTGGCTGTGAGATGGGACTCTTCATGATACTCGCCTCATTGGCTTGTTATGAAAATTAAATGGTGTTATGTGTGAAGTGCTTCTAGTTGCACAGAGTAAGCATCCCCAGGTTTTGAGTACGATTGTTGTCAGTGAGTGAATCCAGACCCCGGGCTTTGAGCATAGTCTAGGGGATGGTAGGACCCTGGGCAGGCCCGCAGGATTCCCCCAGGGGCCCGGCTGCCCCTTGGGAACCACCCTCCCTCCCGTTGCAGGAGCTCTGCCAGGAGGAGCTCTTTGTGGCTGTGGAGATGCTGTCGGCCGTGGTCCTGATCAACAGGGCCCTGGAGGCCAGGGATGCCTGTGGCTTCTGGAGCAGTCTGGCGGATCCTGCCACCGGCCTGGCGGAGGTGGAAGGAGCAAATGCTCAGCGGTGAGAAAGGTTCCGCCCTGTGGGAGCCGGGGATGGAGGGAATACGTATGAGACTAAGAGTTGTGCTGGAGATCAGCCTTTAGCGGGATGCTCCACCCTGGGCCCAGGCGCGCTCTGGGTCTGTTCACAGCTCTGGGCCTGTTCTCCAGTGTGGGTGAGTTCGTTCCCCTTGTCTCCACTGACGGATTCTTTCACAGCAAATGTTTGAGTAGCTACCCACAGGCCAGGTACTATTCTAGGTGCCGCTCTCCTCAGACCTCCGTGAGAGAGCAGGAGAAGGGTGATTACCAGAGTGGAAGCCAGGAAAGCCGAGGGCAGGCGCACAGGAGGGGCGAGCTTCCTGTTCCCACTGTGCGATTTCAGATGACCTTCTGCATGGGGGGTCATCCAAGAGGGACCTAAAGGGCCTAATGAGGCAGAGGCCTAAGAAAGAAATATTCTGGGTGCATTCAGAGGACACCAGGAAGGACTGGGCTGTTAGCTCAATGGCCAAGCRGGTAATTAGCATGCGCAAGGCCCTGGTTTGATCCCATCCCTGGGGCCACAAAAAGTGAAAACAGAACAGGAGGAAGCCCGGGTAGCAGGGTGACCTGAGGCAGGGAGAGGGGTGGGAGGTGAAGACGAGTAGCAGAGGCCAGACCAAGTGAGCAAGGGGGGAGACAGCTTGACCTACTTTAGCAGGGTCGTTCTGGCTGCTGGGCTGAGGATCGATGGCAGGGATGCGAGGGGCGAGGCAGGAAGACCTGGTAGGAGCTATTAGAGTAATCCAGACACTAGTGATGGGCTGTGGCCCAGGGCAGCAGCAGTGAGGGTGGAGAGAAGCGTCAGCTTGTGGCTGTTTTGAAAGCAGAAGTAGCAGGGTTGGGTGGTGGAGTGATGTGGGATGTGACAGGGAGTGGAATCAGGTATGCCTCCAGGGTTTGGGGCAAGGAAGAGACCTTGGGACACAGTTTAATGGGGAATCGGGAGTCCAGATGTGAGCTGAGGGGTGTCTGTGCGTTTTTTGTTGTT